GGAAGTCCCCCAGCAGGACTCAGAAGGCGGCAGGAGGGAGGAAGGAGCAGTAAGAGGAAAACAGCAAGCAGCCTATGACTCATCAATTAAGCAACTAGCTGCTAGCTGACAGGTGCCCCCTCCCTCCCAGTGCAGGGCTTCACCTGGGCTGGGCTGTCTGGCTGCACTTGCCTACTCCCCTCTTCCCCCAGTCAAAGGGCCCTGGGAGCCTAGAGCAACTCGCAGCAGCAGCTGTGTTTGAGCTGCTGCATTACTGCTTAATTATTTAACTGATATAATTAGAGGTTAAATGAATAGTTTTTAAAATGATATTTACACCCCCTACCCCAGAGATCCCATGGAGTAGGGGAAAGCCAAGATGCACCAGTGCAATCCCAGGGCTGGGACCACCCTGGAGCTAGTTCAATACTCAGGGCCATTCAACTGCACAGCCCACAAGGCATCAGCTTGCAGCCTACAGACTCTCACCGAGTTGTAGCTCCCTCCATCTCTCCTGCTGCCAGGATCACCCCTTCTGCTTCCTGCCTACACCCCTGGGGATGGGGTTGGGAAGGGTGGTGTGGCAGGGGGTGGTAGTGTGACTGACTGCTCAGAATTTGGTCAGCCCTGCCCTAACCTACTGTATCTATACTCATGTGATCTTTTACACAGTGAGGCTGTTTACGGCAGGCTGATTTTAAGTATTTGAAAACTCCTATGTGGATTCTGTTCCCATATCTGGAGAACTCTGGCTGAAAATGCTACCGACCATGTGCAGAAACAGAAGCAAAAGGTATTGAGACACGCATCTCTTTACTAATCAAAACTGGAACACAGCCCTAAGGAGGCCGAGCCTTCTGCACAATGGCTGTCACTACTTCTGTGGTTTTATTCACCCTTCAGGAACCCTGTGCATGGTCAAAGAAGTTAGCCACTGATCTTATTATAGCTCAACTATTTAACACTGGTGTGTTTGCTGGATCGCTAGAAGTTACTAGAGTCTACAGATGGCCAATCTCAGTGTCGGAGACTGGCTGCTGATGGGTAAGTCTGGCCGACGCAGGAAGGACAGACCTCCATCCCAGGCATGGTGGCACTGCCTGGCCAGAAGCCAGCCACCAAGAGCCACAGCAGAAGCCAAGACAGTCACTACTACAAGCAAAACAAGGCACACACCTTGCTTGATTCCTCCTTTTATGCATCTTCTGATGCGGCCTGGCTGGTTTCTCCCTCTTGAAGCTTCTTAGTGAATCAGAATGGGTCACTCCTCTTCAAAGGTCAATCACATCACCAAACAGACAGTGACTTAATCACTTTTATACAAATGAGAACATGCCCGTTCCAGTAACTTCAAGCTCAGGAAAACCACAGATACAAAAACATACCTGCCACAACCCAAAGTTGTGGTTTTTTGTTTTTGTGTGCTTCGGCAACGCTAAATTAA